GAAGACATGAAGACTCCAACCGCTCTCTTCTCGGGTTCAAATGACAAACTTGCCAGCCCGACAGATGTACGACTTCTAAAAGACCGGATAACTAACTTGAAATACTTCAAAGAGATTCAAGGCTGGAATCATGCTGACTTTTTATTTGGAAATAATGCACCTGAGCTTCTTTACTCGAAGCTTATTAATATGATGGAAACTGACTTGACCCTGGGAACCGAGTTAGCTGAGTTTGAACTATTTGATGAAAATTGAGCTGGTTGAACTGAAATTTAGTTCAGAATTGATGACTCTATTTTTTCTTTGCGCAACAAATAGAATTTTTAAGGGGTATACTTGCTATGGGTGCTTTGAAAATTGATCTTGTATTTATTAAATATTCAGCTTTTTTTTCCTTTGAGTTTTTATCAAATGGTGTCTACGTTTGAAATCTGAAGCTCGCATCATCTTTGATAGTTTAAACATTTTTTTTCTGTCTCTCTACCTATCTTCATCTTTGTGTTTAATTGTCCAATTTTTTTCGGTTGTCAGGACATTATAGCTTTTCTTCGCTAGAGATTGCTTTAATCAAGAGTTAAATAAAAATGTTTATTGCGAAATCATATACAGTTGCTTTGGCAAATTAGCGCTGCTGTCATTTTCATGTTGGCGCCATACTAACAATCAAAACTCTCTGCAAGCAGATCTCTGTCGATGAGAGCAGGGTGGGAGGCAATCGGCCAGATCTATGTTTAATTTGCATACTTAATGCCAAAACACCGAGCCGACGTTGTACCCTTAAGCACCGCTACTCGCTCTGAGAGATTTAATAGCCTCAAGGCACCAGAACCTCATCATATAATTTGTTATCTCAGTGTGTTTTGTGGCTAACACCCGTTGTCAAATAGTTTACTCCCACGGTGTCTTTTTTTCCGAGAGGTGTAATTAGGCACACGTGAGTTGTTATCAAATTTTCCTAAATGACCCACTGCGGTCACCTACTTAACGAGCTTCATATACTGTGAGGTAAGGGACAATAGTTGTGATTTAAAGGTTATGGCTTAAACAAAATGTTTCTCTCGAAAGCTTTGAAGATTTCAGACGTTTATTGACCTGGTAACCGTGGTTCTCTCCCTTCTTTGTGCACGGGTTTTAGCTATCACTAGACAAAAGTCTGGTTCCTTTTTATTCCGACATCGTTCAGACTGCGTTTTATTGCTGTATGATTTTTGAACTCATTTACAAGCTTAACTTATTTCCTCTACTAAATAATAATCATGCATCAATTAAAAGTAAATTTTCCCATGGTAACGGGTTACGAAAGCTCAATCAAATGTTCAGTCTAGTCCGTTTTGGTGTGTAGGATATTCCAGTAGAACTCAGCGTCTGTTATAATCAAAGTCGGCTACAATGCAAAAAATAAATTTTCATGAGATTACTAAAACTGACTGGACCTTTTTGTAGTCGTCAGCACCATTATTATCTTAGTATGTAAAACACGACATCAAACGAACTGCATGAAAACAACACTAAAAGGCCGATTTTCTCTTAGACTTGTGTTTTAATTCCTGTATCAGTGCTAAACTGCACTGATCGACCATCAGTCCGTTAACCGAAGTGAATGCTCAGCAAATGTCAGAGTAGGCGACGTTTTCAGTTTTTCTTTTATTTTTTCTCTTTTTCTTTGAATATTTTAACGTCACTATATTTTGAGTCATAGATAATTTCCTTCATATAAAATGACAACTTAACATAACAGTTTCCTTGGAAAGAGAAACACAAAGGAGCTAAAAACGAACCACAAGAGAACGAGGAATGGGGATGGATGAAAATGGTTTAGGGTGAGTGGTTAACGATGGCGATGATCAAACCATGAAGAGGCGACTGGAGAATTTTAGTTAACACAATGTTGCGTTTTATATCTTAAGGAACTAGGCGTTTCATTTCCATTGGCAATCTTGTTCGGCGCTAGTTTTTTTCTTTCACTTTCTTCAGTCTTTTTTTTGTAATTTCTTACCCTCATCTGCGGCATCTTCAAATGTTCTGT